ATACGGGGGCGGCAAGTGATTTCTGGCCTCCGCTTCTGAAGCCTTGCTACCCAGCCCTCGCATCATGAAAAAGATCTGGACTGTTGCAGTTGCAGAGCATGATTAGTCTAATTAGTGGCTGCAAAGCGGACTAGCCGCTCTAACGAGGTAACAATAACTAATAACACAGAAGCAGTTCCTAGCCCTGGCAGAGAAGCCATGATTCACTTGAATTTATTCTGAGCCCCTGTCTGTTCCAGGAGGCAAACAACGATGTCCGGAACCTCGTGCTGTCCTCGCCGGCCGAGCCTCTCACGACGCCCGAGACTAAGTCTCGCCCTCTGTCGGAGCTCGCCAAGTCCAAGTCTTGGGCTGTTGAGAAGGGTACGACTAAGAGAAAGGCCAAAGACGCCGAGCCTCCTGACTCGACTGTGAAACCCCGTCGACTGGGTTTTGATTCTTCTAGTCAGAAGGAGAGGCACGAGCCCCTGGACGACACCCCAGGCGAGTCGAGTTCTGAGAACCATGACGACGAGCAGGAGGAGGCTGGCGAGGCAGCGAGCTTCACGACAAAGGCTCTGGAGGACATTGCCGACGAGGATGCAGATCTCTTTAAGGAAAAGTATGCACTGGCCATCCCGGAGACCCCTGCCAGCAACAGAACGAACATTCCAGCCATCATGGATGATCCTGCTGTGGTTTCAAAAGCTGGTTCCTGGGATAAGCTTCCCCGTGCCATCCGCTCAAAGTTGGAGAAGGTGGATTCGGATTTGATTGAGGTCCTGCCGACCACTTTGTCTCAGTGTCCTGCTGGCATTAATATGACATATGTGATGATCCTTGAGTTTCCTGTGATGTCTTCTGCTGGTGTTGCTGCTTCTTGCTGAGGTCAGACTTCCTTCACTTTCTGGATATCCTCATATCCGAGGACATCTTGAATCTTAGCGATGCCATGGAGTTGCTTGCGGAACTGGGAGGCTTCTGTGTTGCAAGGCATTTTCCGGTGACCCCAGATATTTGGCCAGTCTGTTCCCTGTTCATGCATTTGATTTAATGAAGTCAATCTAAGGAACTTGGCTGGCTTGCTTGGGAGAGAAGAGCAATGCTATCCAAGCCAAGTTGACTTTGAAGGGGAAAAAGATCCTTTCGTCATGGCCCGAGGAGTTGAAGGTCACTTGGCTACTAATTTGGGTCTAGCGACTGCAGCCGGTGCTTTTGCGATTCAGTCACTGCAGAGGCAGCCCAGCAGGATGCCGACACCCGCGAGGCCCACGAGGCCGAGTGATTTTGGACAAGCTCAATTTTGGAGCCACCTGCATATGTTAGGTCGATGGCTTGTGATTTCCCGCCCGAAGAAGCACCCAAGTTGCACCCGCCCCGAAACTGCAGCAGCCCAGGAACCACGCCCGAGGATTCTTGGCAGCCTCTGGCAATTTCACGGCAGCCCGATCTTTCCCTGCTCACATGCGATAACCCGTGCCGCCTCTTCAGCACACCAGGGGACAGCTGAAGTCTGCGATGGAGTCGCACTAGAACAGCAGTGAAAAATATTTTGGTCGAAGCAGAATGGCAGTGTTGAGTGATTCCTGCTTGCTGCATGACTGGCTGTTTCAGTTATTACGTACAAGAATAACTACTCAGCTGTGTGGCCGGGCCCTGCTTCTTGGCTTCTACATAATTACGTGACATGTTGATTGGCCCCCAGTGATGCGACCTTGGATGGGTTTGTTGAGTTTGTTGTGAGCTTGGCAAGAGTTTCAGTTGAGCACGCAGAATCAGTACGCAAGTACGTGGACCGGTTATATTAAGTTCAATCCGTGAAGTTCTTGGTTTGGGTTCTTAACGTGGTCCTGGAATTACAGTTTCTGACAGTCAGTCACAGCAAGACAGGGGAAACCAGAGCATATAGCCAGTCGTGGCTGCATTTTGCGGCCCCGCTCCGGACCTCGCGACTGCCATCCGTGGGATCAGTTTGCGGCTGTTAGATTAGAGGCCGGGGCTGCTGTTTTATTTTGTGCTGGTGATCCGATCTAGGCCTGGTGTTATTCCTGGTATTATTCATTCATAGCAGAACCACAGGATCTGTCTCAGTCCTGAAAGCAGTCGATGGGGCCCAAAGTGGGGCCCTTGCAAACCGATCGGGCCGGGTCCCGGATTTTGCTGCTGGCTCGTTTGATTAAAAGTAGTAGCGGGGCGGGGTCCTCGGGTTTTTTGGGCTGGGGTCTACGTTCCGTCTGGGGCCACGGTGTGGGCACCAACGTTCTGTCTGGGCTTGGGTGCTTGTTCCGTGCTGTCTCCGCTCCGATACGTTCTGTCTAGGCCCGAATCCAGTACACGTTCCGTCTCGAGGGCGTTCCATCTAGACTGAGAATACGGGTCTCGTGCGGCAACGTGCCGACCACTGAAGGGCTGAAACAAAACTCGAAACGGCCAGATGTCTTAGAAATGTGTTTTTGAGGATGCCTCGAGGAATGCATGCCATTAGTACGTGCTGTCTCGAGCGTTCTGTCTCGACATTTTTTGGCCGGCACGTGCACGCACGAGCCGGCCGCACAAGGGCTCGTGCAGAACTCAGCCCTTCCAAAACCTATTGATGGAACCCTCTGGTGCTGTTGCCCTGCCGAACCCGGCCAGGCATGGACACGTGGCTGGCACGAAAGGTTGGGGAGCTTGGGGAGCCACTGGGCGGGCGAATTTGGAGCAGTTGAGCGTTCTGTCTCGTTTCTGGGCAAAACTGCGTTCTGTCTCGATATGAGCTATTCAGGACCACCGATGAATCCCAGAAACAAGAGATGCTGCGAACCTGCACCACATTTCTGAGAACGGCAGACAAGAAGATACTGGCTGGCCAGACATTGAGTCCCAGTGTTGGCAAAGTATCCGTTGAAACTTGGGATGCCCCTTGGCAAGCCGCAACTTGGCAAGCAGTTTCTTCATTAGTAGGCCATGCAACAACAACCCAGGCTTTGCTGGATGAGTTCCGTGCAAAAGCCGCTGCTGTTGGACTCATATTGCGACCCCCCTTACGGGACTGGCAACCTACATCTGATGCAGCCACGACCACGAACGAAGAGTCGCCGAGCACCTCTGGAACTTCTACCTCTCCCGACAATGGATCTGTAGAATACTCCGATTGCCGAGTAGGTTTTATTCGAACCAAACTAGGAAAACAAGGAGTGTTGCAGCTGCACAAAGCGGCTCGACTTAACCAAACAGTCCGTCACGTTTGTTATTGTTCTCGTCTTTCACAATTTGACCAGTCAGAAAGTAGTGTCACCTCCGTCTAGGGACCCAAGATAGGTGGACCAACTTGTGCCACACTCTCATGGCTATGCCTGGCTGATGAGGGTGGAAGAAATCTGGCCAATGTTGGCTAGGTCTCAACCCTTCCACAATTGGTTCTGCAAAGCGAAGCTGGGTCTGCATTGTCAGTATTGATTGAAGTCAAATAGAACAGGGTTTTCCAGTGTTGCTCGGCCTCTGATGTTTTTGCCGTGACTGAGGAACACGACTGTCGTCAAGCAGCTTACACAAGCATGGCTGGTGGATCTGCACAGACACATCATTCGTCCCGTGGACTACAAAGGTAACAGAGTTGACAAAGAGAACATCCCCGTCAACATTCGTTTCAACGGTGTCACCTGCCCCGGATTCTTGCTCCTGGCTGCTCGGATGCGATTTGGTTTGGTGTTGGTTCTGCTGGAACAAGCACGAATCACTGGAAATATAATTCGCACCTGCATGTAGCTCCAGGTGTCCTGTCCCCTACAGCAACGGGGCTGCAATCCGAACCATCAGAAGGCAGCTCTTGCTGCTATTGAGATGTTTGCCCACAGCCTGCTTCCACGGGACCTACAGATTGATTTACTGCCGAACGTGCCAGTCTGACTCTTGTCTCATATCTACTCAGCCGGACCTTGACATTGCTGTGTTGTCGTCAATACTTAACAAAAGCATCGGGTGCATATTTGCTGATATGTCTAGGTAGGCTGCTAGTCTCGGACCATGAAGTGAACTTGGAAGCCTGGGCCGCGACCATGGATTTCATGGGGGTCACACAAAGGCGGGATTGCCTGGACTCGTTTGTAATTTTGCAATGGCAACACCTCTTATGACCGATGTCCAGGTGGCAAAAAACGAAGCTGTTCTCGCCTGCGACGCAGAAGCTACACCAAGGAACCAAAAGCTTTGTTGCACAAGTTCCATTTTCTATGTTTTAACATGAGTTCTGTGCTGTTGCTACCACGGGGCTCCTGTGATGACAGGACTTCGCCTCGGCACCGTGACTTGGTTTCTGTTGAGGCTAAACCAGGACGAGAAGCTGTGCCAGGCTGGTCAAGTCAAAGACTAAGACTAAGACTTGTGCAGTCCTGTGCACTGTTCAATGCTTGGGCAATATGGCAGGGACGAGTCGATGCAGCCAGAATACAGAAACGGTTGATCCACGGACTGTCGCAACTAGCAGAAGACAATCTAGACGCTGTGGTTGCAGAGAAGCTTCCAGATGTCAGTACCACGGATGAATTTCATCCGTGCCGCAAGCTCCTCGGCAAGCCAGCAGTGCCACACGGAGTTTGTTTCACCCTTGCAGCTGCGATATGTTCCCAACTGCAGGAATGGCAAATTGCTCCGCAACAACGCGAAGCCGAAGCATGTTGTGAGCATGGAGCGGTTCTTGTGCAGAGCCGCCGGTACGTTTTCCACGTCGCATGACGAGACGTTGGAATCCTTGGGTCTGGCTGATGTGATTCCATCTCATCATCACAGGCACCTTGGACATGTAGTACGTTTCTGTGTAGAAGACCCAGACAAGATGTTGCCCCGGCCGAGGCTGGCCAGCGATTTCCTCTACAGGTACTGGCAAAAATCGGCGATGGAGCTGCACAAGGCTCATGGTTTACTAATACAACATGATTCGCAAGCCCAAGCCCAAATCTGCCCAAGGGGTGCATTTGTTTGGTTCCCGTGTTCCTTAGACACTCCCCAATCCCGTCACGCACAAAAGCAATATTTACGGCCAGGATCTGAGTCATCAGCGGTTTCGGTCGCTGGAGCTCATAGTGGATGCATCCCCGAAGGGGAAGCTGGATGTCGCTCGCCAATTGAGCACAGCCAGGCTGAACGGTTCAAGCCGGGATTTGCCATGCCTCGGATCCAATCCGAGGTCTGGTCTCCGATAGGCTATGCTGGCAGAGTTGCAGCGGCCTTGCCGCTTCAGAGGCTCAGTGCTCTGGCTGTGAGCACGGTCTCTGCACAAATTAAAATGGAAGAGGGCCAGAAAATTGTGGACAAGTTCGCAGAGACAGCTGCAGAGGGGAAGCAAGCCAAGTTGAAGAAAATGCACCTGGGCACTATCAAGACTAGGTTTTCGGTCCTGTGCCCGCCCCCCATTCATTTGGAGTGCCAATCCCCGAAATTATCCATGTTGCTTAGGCCGAAGATGATCAGCAAAATCAGGCAGAAGAAGCTTTCTGCAAGGGAACAGATGAGGGCCTGCATGCATGTGCTGTCGGTGCTGGACTTGGAGCTACTGGTCGGAAATCATGTGCTTCGTCCGTTGGACCCAGTACGGGGCGAAACGAGGATGGTGGAGGATGGCAAAGCTTGGCTGTGGGACCCGGCCACAGGTGAGGCATGTTGGGATTGCCTCACACCTAGGCACCAGTCCCACCTGCGACTCATCCTGGCTCCAGACGAGGGCTCTACACTCTGGGCGGCCTTCACCTTCCTTGCTAGCCAGAATTTCAAAGTGAACTTCGTTCGCGATGAATTGTCACCACGGTTGCAGATTGTGATATTTCGTGTGTCATGTGTCCAGTTGAAATCATTGAATTCCACCTCCTGTGCACCCTACCCAGATCCCCGTGCCGAGGCACAAGTTGCAGAACCATTACCTGCGATTGTTTCAGTGCAACAAAGCCGCCAAGCGAGCCTCAGCCGAAATGAGCCGTGATACTCACGCCTCAACAAACAGTGCTCTAGTTTGAAAGTTGCCTCGCAGGCTGTACATGACAGTGACAGGTACTGTACTGAGTATATTTATATGTAAATTGTCCGCTGAGTCGCTTACATCTGGTTAAGGAACCTGGGCACTCAGTGAGTGGTTGATGAAGGCCAAACGTGGTCCTTGGGACACATGCAAAATTGGAGCTTCCTGGAAACAGGCTGCAGACCGGTATCTACAGGTGGTTGCTTGTCCATTTTGAGTCATTGATGTTTACTCATTTACATGACTTTGGTTTAAGTAGTTTCCCACTCTTGTCACTGTCAAGCTTCCACACCCTTGGCAACGTTGAGCTTCTGCTTGCAGGCCCATTCTGGGGATTTGCTGCAGGAGCTCTTTGCTTCATCCATTTTGGCAGAGTGTCTTGGAGTGGAACTTACGGGGAGAGGTGGATCGTCTGTAGTTGCGAAAGTAACACACGCACACACACGGTCTCCTTGCCACAATTGATAATTGTGTGCCTACACGAGGAATGGCTGGGATGCAAACGCCGAAGGCACTCACGCTTTTGAAAACGTTTGCGAAGTTCTTGAGAAAGCAAGCAGGACCCTGGGCCGCCTTTGCTAGATTCTCAAACGCAAGTCTCGCTGCAATTTCGCTGCAAGCTTGTTGCATCAGTTCTGGCTATTGGTACAGTAAGGAGGGTCGCCTCGTCCTACAAAGCCGGCCGGTGGTGCAGTTGGGGCTTTTGTGCAGCAGGCTTCAAAAAGTACTACAGTGCGACACTGCTTGTGGTACTTTGGGGTTGCCTGGAGGCTGGGAAGTTACAATAATTGCAGGCCACGTGTAGACGTGGGTTGCTGTCCTGTTATCAGGAGGGTATCAACCCTTTCGCAGACATGGGGGTGGCTGCCACCGGAAACGACGGGCAAAAGTACAGCCGCATCATGGACAGCTGCATCCGAGCTCCTCAGCAGCACGGAAGCCGAAGAAAACAGAGGCTACCAGGATTCACGCAGTCGTTGGCACCCATATGATTTTCTGTTGCATGGCGAGGCCCTTATTGACGAAGAGGCCCACAAGCTCTTCGAAAGCCTTCAGTTCTTCACAGAGCCCTGGTGTGAGATGTGCCTGTGGCTCGCTACTCGATTGCACGTGTAGGAGTGAACTAGTGTTAATGTTTGCAACCTGCAAGCCTTATGTTTCTTGTTTCCACGTGCAAAGTGTTGCCTCACCTAAGCAAGCCAACAAGACGAAGTTGGATGCCTTGCACGAGCATACAGCTTGGTGCAACTCTGCTGGTTTCGAAGCTCGACTCTGCCGAGTCGTCGAGGAGGGCCTGGGCCCGCAAGGCATGGCCTGTTTGACAACGGAGCCAGACCTCGACGTGGTCGGTCTTGCTACTCGGATGGGGTCATGTAAATATTTAATTTAGAATAATCTACTCGGTGTGGAGTGGACCAGCATTATTCCTATACTAGTGTTGCAGTGGCTGTTCTGCTGAAACTGATATCTGATACACAGCTTTGTTCTCTGGAAAACACTGGATTCATCCAATTCAATGATTCAATTGTCATTGGCAATCGAATCTAGGGGTAGGGGTTTAGGGTGTTTAGGGTTTAGGTTGGGGTTTAACTTATTAGTAGGGGTTCGATTACTGTCACAGCAGGTAGTAAACACAGGCGGCCAGCCCGCACGCAAGCATCGCGGCTAGCCCGCTTCATGTGTTGCGGCTGGTCCGCAGTCTCTATGGCGGCTACTCCGCCCGGGACAAACAACGGCGGCTACTCCGCCCTACTAGACTTAGACTTGTCATCTAGAAATTAGTCAATGTTAAATATTAGACAAGTAGAGACAAAATCGGCGGCTAGTCCGCACTAGACTACACAAACAACAGCGGCTAGTCCGCCAGTGACCAACAGCGGCTAGTCCGCCAGTGACTAATTATGCTAGCCTATTATAATAGTAAGTATTAGTACGTTGGATTTTACGACAATCAACGGCGGCTAGTCCGCCGATAACTAAACCAACCGGTAGCTGTATGGTGGGTTTTGACTTACTGTCTACTTAGTCGATTGAACTGAATATTCTGAAGCCAATGAATAAATTAGAACCAAGTATGATTGGCACTGCAAGCTATTCTTTGTAATATAATAAACAAATCCACTTAGTCAGTGAGGATTTATTACCATGTGGGCCTTGTCTTCAACTAACTTCCGTCGAGTCGACACTAGTCAAATCGAAGCCAGTAAGCTCAAGGACTTGCAAGTGGTGAAGCGACGATGCAGAGTGCAACAAGACCTCCTGCGAGACCACTTGGACATTTGCCTCGTTACCTTGTACGAACTCGGGTCTTACCAGCTGTACCTGAGGGCTGCTCCGGCTTCCAGTGCCTGTCTCCTTCTGACAGAGTCCACGAAAGTCCCCGACTTGGAGGCTGTGCAGGCCACGGTCTTGCAAGCCCTGGAGTTTGAATGGGCTACTGTGCTGTCGATGGAACAGAACAAGGTCACAGCAGACCTATTGCACAAGCTTTGTCCACATGTGTTGTGGCAGGTTTACCGGGAGACCCTGGTTGGTCTCGAAACTGATGGGTTCAAGCTGAGCCAGACTGTTCGCGACCTCGTGATGGGGTGGTTTCCACGACTTAGTTTCTCTGCAAATATTGAAGACCAATTTGCTGCGATGCAAGACAATGTCCGCCGTGGATCGAAGGGTGGGTCAGCTGGGATCACGAATCTCAGTACTGTGGGGGTGAAAGCACTCTACGCAAAGATGCTGGACGGAGACGGCCAAGCAACTTCTGTGAGACTGCAAGACAACGACTGGGAAGGGACGACTGTGCGAGGATTGAAACAAAAACTGTTCCAGCCGGAGAGCTTCAGTGGAAGAGCCACGCCTGCAAAAAGCATTTCACCTGCGGAAGTATGAGCACCTGCATGAATTTCGACGAACGAAAGCGAGAGATTCGTGTACCTGTGAGGATCCATACTTGTGTGTTTCTTAACTTTCAATATCCAGTGCTGGGTCTTATTGCTCTGACGTTCGTATGAATGAATGACACATAGTACAGCAAGATGAAGTTTGGTTCGAAACAACTTTAATTAATTAATTCATTTGATCAATCTACCAACACACTACCAACGCCACGNNTGCATACAATGTAGCTGTAGACAGTAAGAAGTTTAAGCCAAATATATCCGTGTCAACACTAAGGGGGGGCAGCAGACTATGGCGAGCTAAATTACACAATCTTGGTGATGGTTGACTGTGTACGAATTCTGAATGTGTTGGACAGACCGATAATTCTAGCCCTTGACACTCGAAGTCGCTGGCTCGGGTTATTAATAACAAGTACATTGTATTAATCAATTAGTTAGTTAATTTAATCCAAATCAATGAATCCAAATTAGTAAGTAGTGTAGTAATTGAGTCTGAATTTATTTAATTTAATTGAATATTTAATAATAATGTAGTGCTAATCTAATTTAGTCTAAGAGATGATGATTTGATTTGAGTTCTTAGACCTGGGATATTATAATGGCAAATGTCAACTGCTTCCTTTGCCTTTATTTATATGTTCAGTGTTTCGGTCTGGTGCTAAGAACTGAGGCCAAGATGTGCATTTGGACAGCATTCTGTCTGGTGCATCCGGCACGTCGGCTCACCAGCACAACAAGGGGACCTTGAACTACATGAGAGCTTTTGTCGAGGCACGAAAGCTCCTGGGTGTAGATTGTGAGAATACCTTTTTAACATACTGTAATTCCATTATTCGATGCATATTTGGCGGCCGTTGCAACCAGCTCCCCATCGAAAAACAATGGTTGCTGATTGATGCTTTCAGCATATTGAAACGAAATAATGAAATCGAATCGGGTCGAAATTATAGACTAATTGTTAATCTATTTCAGCAGATTGCAACCGAACGCCACTCTTGCCGTGCTCCCGATGATGAGGTGTGGTCTGGATCTGGCTGATGCTTCGGCTTCGTTCTGGGTTTCGGGGATCATCCGGAGAGGCATGCTGGTCAAAGTGAACACGTCTTTTCTGCTGGCCTTGGGAAGCAACCCTGGTTTGCTGTGTGTGTCTTGGACTTTATTATTGATTGATTGCTGAGTTTTGTTAACCCTCTGTCTAACCCTTGATAAGATGTGTCTCCTAGCTTGCACAAATGACAAACCAAATTGTGGCAAAATACGCTTCCGATTAATATTAGTTTAAGCTAAAGTGTGGGAACTAGGCCTCGGGTGATTGGCAAAACTAAACTTAACCCATCACGTTTGAGACGCTAAAATCGAAATCGCCCCGCCCGCTTTGTCGCAACCTGCAAGGCCTTGAAGCTACGGGAGGTTGAGATGTGCTTTCGTGGGAAGCTGCCTCCCGAGACAGTCAACGAGAACAGTGTTGCCAAAAACCCGGCCCGGTGGGAGGCAGAGGATGTACTGGATGATGGCGAAAGCTGCAAAGCATTGGTGCTTGATCTGGGAAAGTCACTTGGCTCAAAGCCGCAATTGAAATGCTAGTGAAGTTGAATTATTATTATGATTATATAAAAAAGCTTCTTGGTATATATATATATATAATAGTATTGTAATACTAAAAAAGCAGTTGTAAATATAGTCTCATGGACTGTTTTGCTTGTGGCTGTTCCTGTGATTCAACTGTAGTAGCATCTCTCAGGACTGTCTTTTGAACTTTTGATTGCTTAATATACACACAGACAGAGGCCGCTGCTACATCGGACCCTGGTGGACTTTAGCCAGGTGCCTTGTTCCCAATCAGAAGCATTACTACTTTTGATAGCTGATAACAATTGACTCGACTAATCATTAGTACTTATTATTCATTATCAGTAATCATTATTGATAATAAACAATGAATGCTAAATAAAGTCCGTCTAAGACGAAGTATTTAGTAATTACGTACCGATTATTGTAATATTCATTTATCATATAGGACTGGAGCTTGTGTTTATTTAGCACAAGATTCTGCAGAGGTGGGATGCTACTCTTACACAGTGCACAGCTGCAGCAACGGCCTGGCAAGAAAGTTCGGCAGCAGCATTGTTTTCAGAAGAGCAGCCAAGCCAAAGCCCTTGATAGTGCAGCTCATCTTGAGTCGTGATATCTGCAGTGCGACGAGTGAGAACCTCTCCAAGATACTACAGATTTATGGCTCCCGACTGAGAAAGAATGCCTCCAAGACTGCAAAGATCAAGGCAATTATGAAGCTGGATGCA